CAGTGGGTCAATGGTTAGAACTGTTGCCTCACAACTAAAGAGTCCTGCTAATATGGTTAAAACATATTTATTTTGCAAATAAATATGTATTATATGTATTTTACCTAATGACACATGACCTTTGGTTTTAATATAAGACAGCGTATCCTGATTCAGAGTTGTGGAACTGACCAGTAGGCCAGCAGCTCATGGCTACTGAATAGAAAGAATATGTCATGTCACCAGATGTGTATAAACCCTTGAATGGTTGCAGAAACACATCCATAGCTTTTACATCCTGCTCAGCTCAAGGGCTGATTGCTCCCAAGATGAAGTGAAAGAACCGTTTGCAGTCAGACTGTGAAGCCACCCAACTTGCTGTGACGGTGCAATGTTTGCTTCGTGCAGTCATGCTGTTAGAAATGTCAAAGATGCAACTTTTGCTTGCAAAACTAACCAGCACTGGTAAACAGCATTTCATCTGTTTATCATTACAATGGACTTTCTGTTGATGTTTCAGGTTTTTAAACGTCTCATTTTCTTCATTGCTTGTTCATTATGATCCACAGCTGACCCCCCGGAAGACTGTTACTAGCCGTGCCTGTTCTCTCTCTGTTCTAGCCTCTCTTGCCAGCAAGATCCGCCGACGAGACACCTTGAACATTAAACTGGGGAACCGACCCAGCAAGAAAGAGCTGGAAGAGAAAAACATTCTGCCACGGAGTTCAGAGACGGAGAGGCACGAGCTACGCCAGCAGATTGGCAGCAAATTAGTCAGGTACACTCAAACACACACATACAAAGCCGACTGTGAAAATGTGGCTAGGTGTTACTTTTTTCTCAAGCTTGGCATTGCTTTAGGATAACAAAAGGGATTGTTGTTTATTTTTTTTTTGGTGTAGCTGTGGGTGGTATACTGTTACAAATGATGCACATTAAAAATGTGTCCTGAAATTTGGCCTTTTCTAACAGATGAGCCAAATTGGCTGGTGTTAAAACAGCCTTCAGATTCTCAGCAACAAAAGGTGTAAACAAAAAACAAAATCTTAAGTGTTGATAAGTTCGGATTTTTCTCTGCACACGCCTGAAGAATTATTAAATCCATACCTGCTCGTAAAAAGAGTGTAAACAGTTTTCTCTTTTTAGACGCCTGAGCCAAAGACCAACCACAGAGGAGCTGGAGCAGAGAAACATTCTCAAGCGTAAGTGCACTCTTCAACAGAGGTGTGACGTGATGCACCTTTTTTTTTATGATCGTCATAATACTTTAAAGCACGAATTATGTCATTTCAGCTGCCCAGCCACAATCTGTTACTGCCACTCTCAGATCTTCAGATACGACCTTGCGTGTCTTATTAATCAGATGGATGAGACAGATATGTCTGTCTAAATTATGAATTACTGTCTTAGCAGCTTTGTGTCTCCCACGGTGGAGTGATGTGTTCAATCACACTGTGAGCTTTACTGGGTATCTGTGTAACTTTATCCTCGGATTTAATTCTTTTATTTATTTTTTTAAAGGTTGATTTGCAGACTTTAAAACGTTTCGGTCTGCAGCACACAGCCTCAGTCTCATCATAGCACATGAGAAATAATGCAAGGCTCTCATGTGTTCCTTTAAACACAGGAAGAGAAGTAACACTATGTATGTGTTGTGCTAGGAAAGAAGGATTAGGTGTCATAAATCCTGCATGACTTCTGTTTCAATCTGGATGAGACCACTAGATGTCACTGACTTCTCCAGTGCCCCCTCACCAAGCTGTTTATATATATGCGTGTGTGTGTATGTGTATATATATGGTGCAATTCAATGAATATTTCACAAGAATATTTGCCGTTCAGATTTCATCTGATTTCCCTTTTTTTGCCTTTTTGCTTTTGTTTATGTTATGGCAGCCACACTGCTGCATAGCCATGCACTTGGCTTAATATTGCAAATTATAGCTTGTGTATATAATTAGATGCAGTAACTTGTTGCAGACATAGTAGGTGTGAAATCAATCTGCTGGTTCTCTACATGCAGAAAAGAATGAAGCAGAGGAACAAGAAGCTAAGCAAGAGATTAAAAGGAGGCTCACGAGAAAGGTACTGTAAATTTCACACACACACACACACACACACACACACACACACATATACATACATAAGAGAACAGAAAGTACACAGCATGTCTATATTTAGCTACTAATATGTTTTGCCCCACCTTATGAGTCATGGTAGTAGAAAGAAACTGTTTTATATAGAGAGATCAGGCCATCTAGTGGACTCAGCTGGAACTGAGACATTAACCCATATACTGGGAAGATCATTTTGAAGTTTAATATTTGATTCGACTGACTGTCTACTTTCTCCTCCTTTCTCATCTGTGTGTAGCTGAGCGTGAGGCCGACGGTGGCAGAGCTCGTTGCTAGGAGGATTCTTCGTTTTAATGAATATGTGGAGGTAACGGACGCCAAGGATTATGACAGACGAGCTGACAAACCCTGGACACGGCTTACTCCTGCTGACAAGGTACTGCTCTTGTAGACTGCTCTGTAATACCTGATATAATTTAATTTATTAGGGCTTTATGAAACCTTTACAGTTTCTATTCAGGGTGATAATTTTGTGAATTTGTGATGTTGATTACTTTGGTGATTAGAGACTTAAAATATATGTGGACATGCAATCACACATATATGGCGAACAACCATCTGCTTTTTGTAGCGGTCTCGACTTCTTGGGAAGACTTTAGAAAATATTTCAGATCTTGGCTGCAGGAATTTGAACCCACTGGGCCGTAAGAGCATTATTAAAATCAGACACTAAATGTTTCCTGGCTTACAGTCGCTGTTCCAGTTCATCCCAAAGGTGGTGGATTGGGGTCAGAGCTTGTGCAGGCCAAAATTCAAAAACCCATTTATGTATGGGTCTTAGTTTGTTGCAGGTTTTTTTCTAGTTTCAACAGGACGGCCTTCTGCGTACACAGTTGTGTTTCATATTATGGTCTTAAACGTCTCTGTGTGTTTATGCTTGATGATATACATGAAATTCACTTAGCTCACACTAAGTCAGTATGTAACTGCATATATGTGCCATCTGCACTGTATGAATATTTAGCATGGCTTAACAAAATATCCTCACAGACAATAAAGACCCTCAAAGTGTGCAGTTTTTATGTCAAGGTTTCCCTCTGCTGTTGATGTTCAGAACTGCACAGCACATAAATACAGACCTTGAGCCTTGCAGCCCACATCCAGTAAATTCAATTTTAGGATATCTTCTCACATTCAGAGGGCAACAGGGAAAACGATGCATGGACAAACCAAAGTAAACTGTCTGCTTGCACATTTGTACAGTGAAATCTCCGTCACCAGTCACACTTACCGCAGACAGCCGTGGAGACATATAAATTATTTCTGATCTCACAAAGCTAAACTCATTACTGTCAAATAAAAGAATGGACAGGCAAATAAAGCAAGCGACATCTAACTAAACCCTTAACAACTTTAAAAACAAACCTCCGACTTCACAGCATCACCTGCATAACCGGGTCAAAAAATGGATGTACTTGATGTTACTGACGACAGACAAAACAAACTTTTCATGTAAGGCTTGAGGGAAGAGTTGGTTATAAACATTACAATAAATCCCTTTAAAATCATTATTTTATAAGTTAAAATGAATGAGAATAATCATTTGTGCTGCTGTGTACTTTGCTCGTATTTTTTAACGACTATTAGTTCCGACTACTTCCCCGAAGCAAAGACTGTAGCTGTGCAGATTTATGGAAATTATCTGTAAACATCTTAAAAGCTCCAAATGAGAGCCCTTAAGCATCTGAACATTTCACATTGAAACAGCTCAAAGGCATCATGAGCTTACTTGGAAAAGGTGATTGGGGTGGGGGGGGCACAGTTGGCCTTGGTCTTCTAATGATGTTATTTTCTGTGTGTGTCTTTGTATGTGTGTGTTCTGCCCCCCAGGCTGCTATCCGTAAGGAGCTGAATGAGTTTAAAAGCCGAGAGATGGAGGTTCATGAAGACAGCAAACAGTTCACCAGGTACTTAAGCGGTCAATGGCATTGACCATTTAAGCCGACTCTGAAGCTTTATTAGCGCTTTATCACAGTAAATGCTGCTGTTTATTAGTCACATTGATCAATATTTATATTGTTCTAGTCCCACATTAAAGTCACGATATACTCCTGGGTCGAATCCAGTTTATTTACCTCAGGCACTAATTGACAATAAAGGTTAGGTTGCCGCTCTCATTTGTTATTTTATCGCTGTGCCGAGCCCACCAAAAAGAACTAATAAACCTTTCAATAAAAACAAAACTAGCGCAAAATGTTTCAATATTTGTTTACATCCTCTGTTTGAACTTGTGAAATTACATAGTTGTTGATGTTTTTTAAAGAGAAGAGATGTAGAACAGAGACATTGAGTCACCGTCATTTCCTCATATCTTATTATACTTTGTTTTATGAATTTAGAGAAAATAAGAAAAAAAAACAGCAGTGGCAGCATTATGTCTGGCAATGTTTTTGCCTCAAGACTTTATTAAATTGTTAAGGCCTGAGGGGCAGGTCATGCAATGGAGAAGAGTATAAAAGAGAAAGAAAAGTGCTTCCAGGGTGCAATTTTCCCTGTCTGACTTGCTATTAAATGCTATTAAAGGTGAGCCACAGAAGTCAAGATAACATTTAGGAACAAGAAAACTTTGATATAAAATGTACACGGGCTGGAAATGGAGGAAAAGCAGCTAGTGCACAAACATAGTCCACATGCAAAAGTCCTCAGAGGTGATGCCTTACCTGCAAATTCATTACAAAAGTCAATATAATGAGATGAGAATGAGAACACATGCTTTAAGAAGACAAAGTTAAAACTGAAATCTTTCCAAAAGTATGTTTTGTAAAGAAATTAAAAAAAAAAAAAAGATGAGCAGAACGCTTCCCTTCTTTTGAGTCTGACAATAGAAACATTTGAAGGAAGGTCCACGATTTTCATTTTCCTTTGAGAAATCAATGAAATGCGCCATTTGTTCTAAGATGCTCAGAAGTGTTTTTCCTTTGTGCCATATTTTTGAAGAGGGAAAAAAACCCTGTAGACTTATGCTTTTCTGCAAGATTTAAATCCATTGTTAAAACACTTCAATTAACAGCACGATTAAAATGCACCACCACCATTTTTGTTCTAAAGCCAGCAGCCGCAGCTCAAAGACAGAGGAAACTCGAGTTTGACTGTTTTTGCCTGATAACACACTGAAACGTAGCAACGGTACATGATAAAACAATGTTCATATTATAATCTGTCTCACTCACAGTGATGTGAATAAGTTCTTTCTAAAGTCCGGTGAAAAACTATCTACACGTTTACTGCTTCCTTAGGAATTTAGAGGGTGAGGAGCAGCCAGGCTGAAAATCAAATGCACTTGATGAAGTGATCATCAACAAAGCAGAGGTTTGCTGGTGTGGAGCATTCAGATGTGTGTTAATAACACAATCTTTCATACAAATTCACCTGAAGATTCACATGAAAAGACCCAAGAGCTACACCTCAGACTCTACAGGCCTCAGCATGTTAAATGTTGAAGTTCGTGACAGTACCTTTAGATAAAAGCTGAAAAAGTATGGCTTGTTTGGAATGGTTTCCAAGAGGAAGCCTCTAAAAGAACATGGCTTAGGTTGCATCTGAACAAACCAAAGGACACACTGTTTTTTGCAAGGGAGCACAGTGGCATAGATGTTTGGATACATACGCAGCACATGTTTGTAAAAGGAATCTGAACCAGCTGTCCGTCTCAGCGATGGAGGAGTGATAATTTCGTCTTGTTTTGCAGCCACAGTATCTGGGCACCTTACAGTCACTGAGTTAGCATTATAGAGTCAAAATGTGAAACCATCTGTCTGGCAGTGTAGACTGATAAAGTCATACAGAAAAACAAGTGTTCAAGTTATTGCTTCTAGGTAAGCATCAAGATAAGTTCAATGACTTTTAAAGATGATTTAAGATGGTGATATGCTTATTGAATGGTTAGTTTTTCTATAGGACTGCACATAATCCTTTTTTTTCACATGACTATTTTTTGCTTTGTGGTCCTCGGGATTCCCATATGCTTGTTTGCCATTCACCTAGGGACCATTTTTGATCCGACAACACCACAAGGGTTACGCAGCTCAATGCAGCCGTGACAGCTTAATGCTTAGTCATGTCTTCATTTCATTCTCATTCTGTTTGATCCCTCGACTATGTAAAAAGATATTACTATTAAGTGTCTACAGTCAGCAAATAACTCACCACAAACTGCTGTTACCTACTGTCTTTGATCGCACAAACTACTCACATTGTAGTCTGACAAAGCATTTTGTAAACACCCACCTCCTGGAGTTAAAGATGTGGTCTGTTATGTGTGTTGGTTGTTTTGAATTCAGATGAGTAATTTATGTTTCTGTTAAAAAAGAATAATGCAAGTTTGAAATTCAAATGAAAATTGTCAGCCCTAGTGTTCACTGAGCTTTGGTTTATATCGACAGCAGTTGGTTTAGTGTTTGAGGATTTTTCAAGATCTGAAAAGTGATTTCAGATGCAAGTTTATTCCCAGGTACTGTGCAGGTCACTCCTCGGAGTGTCTGTCAGATTCTTGGTAAAATTAAATTAGTAGAAATTGCTAATAAATGACAATACATTCATGTATTTCTATTATACTGTCTGTGTGTTTCCTCTGTTGTAAATAAACCTTTGCGTCTGTGTTTTCAGATTTCATCGGCCCTAAGTCTCCTCAATGCCCCGTAGGCGTCAGCGCCACAAGCTCTCTGGTCCACATCTCCCAGCAGGCTCAGCTCAGTCCACTTCACTCTGGAACTCAGTCGACCTTTTTCACAGCGGACTTTTTGTCTTGTCGCAGCAGGAAAAGCACAGGTGTACTTTACAACATTTAAACGTGGCTGTGTTTCGTTCGGGTTAACCAGTTCCAAAACCTTGGATGTGCGCTCATACTTTAGAAGAGCGATTGATAGGAAGGTGACACTCGTTTCACCTGCATTTTTCCTACTGAACCGCATCGGAATATCTTATGTAAAAAAGCTCTGTTGCCCCCGATGAAATTTTTAAGTCTATCATAACATCTGTGTGTGTTTCATGGCACCCATAAAACATTTGCACATACCCAATGTCAGGATAGTGGCATGTATTGTGCTCAGATTAGATTTATTTATTGTAGAGTATCAGAACCAGCTGGTACACAAAATATTTTGTGTATTTCTTTTTTTTTTTTTTTTTTGTATGTTTTTGGTCAGCCCTGTAGTGGTGAATGTGAGTGTACTGTAGAGTTTGTGTCCTTGCCAGGGTTTTCCTTTGTCAGAAACTGACAAATGGCCAAATATGGGCAACTTCCTAGTACAGGAAGTGGGGTTGATTGGATAGTTTCATGCTGATGTCAGTGCCTATGTCACAGATCACAGGAGAGGAGAGGCAGTTTCCTCTGCTCAGATGTTCCCCTCAGAGATGAATCAGAAATACTGCAGTTCATTTTTTTTAAAAACGTGCTTTAAGTTCTGCCACTAGAGGTCACTGTATCCTAAGAGTTACAGAAGACGATGGTGCACATAGCTGAAGAATAACCGCAAGTGTTATATTTAAAACTGCTAAAGCTGAGGGAGCCACCTGAGGCTTTAATATTGAAGTGCAAATCCCATTATGGCCACTTCTAATCCCTCAGCACACTTTCCTGATGATACATGATGATAACATATCATCATGTATTCTCTGCTGGGTTATGAACCTCTAATCACAAAGTGCTGGGCTAGCTGTTTAGGAGATGTACTCATTGTTTTCTTAATAGTTCTATTACAGGCCTTTGGCTGGGGTGCTTTACTTGGCTCTTTATTTGGTGCCAAAGATAAAGCAGGAACCTGATCGTATGTAGGTGCTCTAAATTGGAACGCTTACAGGTTTCATTTTGTTGGGTGGACTACGTAGAGAACAGGCACTGAGAGGTTCAGCACTAGTAATGAACTGCTCTCTTCTTTCAGAGAGTGAAAGAGTGCTTTTATTTTCATTTCCTTGAACATGCTTTTGCAATTTAGTCAAGTGACTTTATTTTTAGAACACATTATAAAAGAAGAAATGTTGACATGAGTGCTTTGTGACTTTTGTGATTATATCTTTACATCTAGCTTTAACATGCATCTTGAATTCAGCAAAATTACCTAGTGACATGAATCAGATTTATTCGATGGATTTGTTCCACTTTTTGGAAAGTTAATCTCCAGCCATGTTAATTATTTCAGTAAGAAATTACCATTTTAGATCATTTTACAGTTTTGCTCAATCATGTTTCAAAAAAAAAAAAATGTTTCAACTTTCATGTGGTTGAATAGATGCCATATTTAACGGAGTCAAGAGGATTTCCTTTGTTTAAATGTGGAGCTATGAAGCATCTAGTGTGTGGATTTGTGATTTTTTTTTTTTTAGCAATCTGGCTCGGGTGGTTTGGTAACTATTGGATTTTGGGGGATTTGTGGATTTGCTGCCTTTACGTGCACTGCCAGATACTTGAGATGCATGTTTCTGAAAAATGTAGAGGATCCATTAAAAGTGTTTTCTTTCTCCGAGAATGCCAGAATGTTTGTCTGAGCTTTAGTAATATTTTTGTCCCATGCCTACTCGAGAAGAGCGGAGATGTTGGCTGTCGAGTGATTGACAGATAGAGCTTGCTGACCTCCAAAAGACAGTGTTCTCATAATAGAGCCCCAACCTCCACAAACACTCGTCATTCTTCCAAATAGTAACTGAAAAGGGCAGATTGATTGTTTCCGCTTCTGAATGTGCGGGGGTTGTAAAGTGAAAAGATGTATAGCAATGAAAAAGAAGCAACAGTATTCATGTTGATGTCTAAGTTGTTGTTCATATATATATATATATATATATATATGAATATACATATATGTGTGTGTACTGTACAGAATGTATATCAAGCATGTGCATACATTGGTATGACTTTTACTGCCAATATAATATGATACAACTTTTATGTGAATGTTTTAAAATCAAATTGTGTTGTTTTTTTTTTAATATTTTTTGATACCATCTCCAGACACTGATAAAGAAGTGATTACAGCTGACCTGAAAGTGGTGCTTTTTAATCAATTTATCAAGCACAGTCTTTAATAATAACATACCTATTTCATACGTAGACAAAGATCTCTGGGAATATCCGGTTTTGGATTTATTTCTACAAATATCCACAGTTCTAATCTGCACAAACTAGAAATCCTTCACATAGGAATAATAATCATACTTGGTTTTAGATATTTATATATAAAGAGAGAGAGTGTATTATATATGTAGAGTTTACATATGCTAATTAGTTTGGAAATAAAAACTAGCAGCTGAAGAAAGGAAGTAAATATGAGTTTGATCCCTTACAGTCTGCCTGGGTGTGGCTCCAGCACAGGTGAACACGGTATACGCCGTCAGCCAAAGCTGCTGTCAAATACCCAGGAATTTTGAGCTTTTATTACAAATTAAAAGTCATACATCCAGTTGAGTTAGAGGCAAATTGATGTTTTGGTTTTTTCTAGGTTCATAAACATATTTTATCTCTCGCATGAGAGGAGTCTTTGGAGGTGGTCCAAAGTCTTTACTGCTTTCCATTTATCTCAGAAGTTGGATTTGCATCACCTCCGAGTTGAGCGTGTTCCAGTAGTAAAGTTGGAAAAAACAGGATTTGTGATCAATGTTTTCGTTCTGAGTTGGAAATCCGACTTCAGGAGAAATTCCATTTTCCAACTTTAGCTTGAACATACTATCTAACCTACCCTGCCATCGGAGGTGTTGGTAGGGTAACATGAGCCAAGATGTGAATCAAGATGTGGTTCATTGGGGTCTCAAGGTGTGGGTGGCCCAGGTGAACTTAATAAATTGCGTAATGACTATCTCCAAGGTGATGACCTCGCTAGGGGCACACTGCTGCCCATCCCACCATGGTTGAGTAGCCTAACCCACGTTATTAATCATCTACAGTCTGTATACAGTCAAATAAAATTACAATTAAACTGGTTATACAGGGTTATCACTCATTATGTACCAATTAGGAAAAGTTTTAATTGTTATCAAAATAAATTAAAAACTTGGAATTTCTTAGCATTTACTCAAAGCTACATTATAGTGTGTTGTACATAATTTTAGCAATTTATACACTCATCAATCACATTACAACCTCCTGTCTAATCATGTGTAGGACCTCCTTCTGCTGCCAAAACAGGTCTGACTCATCAGGGTATTGACACGGGACCTTTTGGGATGTCTTGTGTTGTCTGGCATCTGAACATTGGCTGCAAATCCTTTAGATCCTGTCGGTTGCAGGTTGGAGGTGCCTCGTTACAACACAGCCCACAAAGGTCCTGTCGGGGTCTTGAGCTCTTCGTTGTGTTCCTGTAATTAGTTTTTGTTGAGTTGCAGGGTGCATTGTTCAGCTGGGAGAGGCTCCTGGCAATAGTGGGTTGTGAAGGCCAGAGTCCAATATTTCCCAGCAGTACATTGAATTATAACAAGATGATCAGTATTATTCGCTTCACCTGTTAGCAGCTTTTAATGTTGTGGCTGATAGGTGTACATATCAGTGCTAAATATAGAGGTTAAAATGAAGCATTACCAAATGAGAATATTTAGAAACCTTCTCCATGCAAAAGCTTAGTGTTATCGCTTTTAGAACGGCTTTTTAATATTGAAACCGCTTACACCGAAATACTTGCGTGGAATATCAACAGCATTTATATCGTGCAAAAATCCGAAATTAGGAATGTGGGTGTTAAGCTATAACCACTTAATTCATCAAGATTCAGAACGAATCACCTAAAAACGTTGATGGGTGCCATCTGTTTCATCTCATCTGTACGGCAGCTGTAAAATAAACAGTCACGTTACCCAAAGAAGCTGCAAGCCTACCCCACATTTCCCAGTGTTAATAGTGATCGTGGAAAACGTAATAATAGTTAGACTGCATTTCAGAAGGTATTTCTCTATTTCTCTTGACAGCCATAGTGGCACTTGTTTTTCCTGAGCTGCTACTGTTCATTTGTAATGCTGTCTACTTCCCCCAGTTCATAAAAATGTTTACATTGAGAATGTCTCCTGCTGGTGGTGCTTGAAGTTTCCTTTATTGCTTCCCGAATGTAAATCCATACTTCAGACTGGAGCCACAATCAGACTGCAGTCAAACCCCCCCTTTTTTCTTGAACATGTAATCTTTTCTTGACCATGTGAAAATAAATTGTAATTTGCTGCAGTTTAGCAAATATCATGCTATAAATCTGATATACAGTAATGTATAAACTGTCAGAGTAATGGATTTACTTTGTGCTCAGAGCAGCAAAGGCTGAGGAGACAATGTTTCACATGAGCTCCAACCACCTTTACTCTATGTTTGACATTAATAATTCATCTTTGAAGTTGTACTACAATGTTATATATCTCAAAACAGCTACTGTTGTGTCCAAACTGTGTATAGTGTTTTTGTATATAAAGAGTTAAACAAAAAGGTTTTTTTGTCATTGTCTTTTTTTGTCGTGAATAATTTTATCACTGAAGTAAGATCACAACTGTTTTTTGTCTGAGAACAGGGACACCCAGGTACATCTATTATTTATTTGGCACTGCCTTGATTCTTTGTGGCATGGATGTAACAAGGTGCTGGAAACATTCTTCAACTGTTGCCTCAGTTTTCTGTTCTGGTCTGACAGGAAGGGCCCTCAGTGAGGTCTGCTGCTGCTGTAGCCCTTCTGCTTCAACACTGGCTTCTCCCTTCAGAGATACTCTTCTGCACATCTTGGTTGTAACCAGTGGTTATTTCAGTAACTGCTTGAAGCAGTCTGGCTGTTCTCCTCTGACCTCTGGCATCCGTAAGTAATTTCAACCCAGAGAACTGACGCTCACTGGATATTTTCTCTTTTTTCGACCATTCGCTACATCCTAGAAATACTTGTGTGGGAAAATCCCAGTAGATCAACGGCTTATGCAGTACTCATCAGGTTGGAGCTGTCATTTTGACCATGTGTACCTGCCTAAATTCACTGAGCTGCTGCCATGTGCTGTTTAAATATTTGTAGTAACAAGCAGATGGACAGCAGTTGTGTCTAATAAAATGGCAGGTGAATTTTTGTGACTCAGCAGTAGATGACAGAGAATGAGGGTAAAAAAAAAAAAGCTAATCTGAGAGAAATATGAAATTTCTTTGCCGGAAAGAAAATAAATGTCACAGGTTTGGAATTTAAGCACGTATGTGTTCATACATGCAAAAGTTTCAGAGTTTTTAATGAAGGTATAATTCATCCACCGGATATGAGTCTAAATGAGAGACAGCAAAGTGGTGCCAGTTGAAAGAATTACACCCTGTTGGTCAGTAACCGCCTCCTGCTCTCTGACCATGAGCTTTGTCGCCAGCATTAAGTGATGTCTGGACCCAGACAGCCTGCCCTGCAGGGAAGGCTTTTAGATGTTGTATATTACAGGGAAATGTATGAATAAAGAAGCGTTGTGCAAACTGTGCATACAAAGTGGAACAGAGGAGCTCGGAGATGCATCAGCAATAGGCATCCTAAAGCAATGCATTTGCACATACCTCACAAATATATTAGGATAATATGTAATTTCATTGAAGCCCCTTTATTTTGCATTGTTGTCCTCTTGCCAGCTGTAGTCCCTGCAGGTGCTTTTTGGCAGCATGTTTTCAGAGCCCTCGAAGGTTGCGTCTCCTAATTAACTATTCAGAGATGCAAAACGCAAAGAGCACAACACTCAGTGGGGTTTTATTTTTGAATATGTTACCTAATTTGTGGCAGATTTCCTAAAGTAATTGAAATGCTGACGCCTCCCCCCCCCTCCGTTTCCATTAAGGCTACAAAGAGCAGCACTGAGAGAAATCTACCATCTATGATGCACCTAAAAGTGTGGCAATTAGTGCCAATTAAGCTTTTTTTGGATATAAGAAAAAAAAAATATAGAAAGCTCAGCTCACCTCATTTCATCATCTTTTATATGGCTTTGTTTGGGTAAACTGTCAAAGATGTCAGCATAATTACACTGACTTAAACTACTGGGTTACAAAAAGGTCCCATCCATCTCAACGACAGTATGTGCTTTCAGGAGTTTAAATATGAAGTGGGTGTAATGAAGTTGGATGTGCAGAAGAGGACAAGAAAATGAGAACTGGTGATGGAAGGAAACTGGGGTCAAAGAGACCTGGATGACAGAAGTGATAATCATTTTCTATAGAGCACAGGAGGGCAGCAGGAAAACTGTAGCACCTGGTGCCTGTGTTTGAAAGATACTCCTGGTACACAGTGATCATAAACCTCCTCTCGTTTTATCTTAGACACACACACACACTTGTCTTACTCATGAGAACTGATGCTTGTTTCTAAAATCCCTGCTTTTATCTTAGACTTAGACTAACCATAAATCTAAACTCAGCCCTGCTTTCTGAGAGTAAAAGGTTTCCACTTTTACACACCTTTGCACCGGTGTGTAATCAAGTTTCCACTTTTTACTAGCTGTAAAACACACACACACACACACACACACACACACACACACACACACAACAAACAGCCCACTTTAATGAAGTTTCCCAGCCAGGACAGGAAGGCACTTTTATCCCTGGCATGCTGCCTGGAGGTCCTGACTGTAATGCAGTCTGCTCAATTGGAAGTTGGTGGATTAGTGATCGGTCTAACACTCGCTGACGTTTCAAAACATATGATTTTTTTTTTGTTTTTGCTCTGTTATACTGTTCATATTACAGTCATTCTATTTGTCAAAGTATTTCCATTCCTTTCAAAAATGAGGGAAAGGTTATAAAAGAAACATCACTACAGACTTGAAAGTAATATGAGCAATCCTTTTTGAAAGGGTAATTGACTGGTAAGAAGTGTGGGTGACAGGTGAATTGTAATTTGCTTCAAATTGCATTTAACTAAAGGATGCTTTAAGGAGAACTTTCACTCCAGAACTGTGCAGACCAGAGATCTTTAATTATTTTCTTCATACAGAAACCCCTTTTTTCTTAGTAGTGCCATTTTTCTGGGTGAATTCTGTTCTGCATTTATTTTTTTGAATATGATTTTGCACCACATTCGTGCCTTCTTCACACAAAATATTCATGTGTTTTTCCACTGCTCGAGAGTCATTAGTTGCTGTGTTTCCACTCCACTGGTAAGCCTATCTGAGAGGGCAAAGACGAAGAAAGAAAAAAATGGAGTGTAGTAGAGGAGAAAGGGAGGATGCGATGTGGTTTGCAGGGGGGGGTTCGAGCAGTAAAGAAGAATGGGTGAAGAGTTTAGTGAAGGAGAACAGGAGAGCACAAGGGTTAGGTGGTGGGTGGCCATGTGGACAAAGATAATTGAATTTGTGGAGAATTTCTATTTGACGAGGGTAATTGTGCTTCCTGAACCTTTGCACCGGTGTGTAATCAGAGGAGAGAGCAGATATGGACGAGTGGCCAAACGAAGAGCTCACATCAGCATGAACACAGAAAGGCCAAGTGGTTTATTAACAAATGCTATTCAATGTGTCAAGCTCCATTTGTAAATGCAAACACACGGTGCTGCCAGTTTCCAGTTTCCACTCTGACTGTGATTTGCAAAGAGTCATAGGGAGTAGAATTAATTGCCTCAACTAGACCCTGCAGGATCTCGAAAGGTTACGTAGCTGAGGCGAAAACGAGCGGCCGCACGAGATTCGATTAATTGATTAGCTGTTTAGCTGCAAAATGTTTAATTGGGCCTGCATTTATTGATCAGCTCACCATAAAGAAGAGAGTTATTGCAGCGCAACTGCCTTAAATGAAGCAATTATTTGATAATCTACACCAATCAGTAGCCCATTGTAGTAAAATCAACATAACAATGGGTTTAGACACCGGTGGTGGTGACGCTGTATGATGGAAGTCTGCATGCATATGATGTGGAACAGGACTTCTGATGAGCTGGCTCTGAGGAAAACTGGGGGTGAATGAGGTGGAGGAGGACTGCATCCATTGACACTGAAGTGACAGCTGACAGCTCGACAGAAAGAAGCCGTTTTAAGATTTGACAGCAGTGCAGTGACTTGCTCGTTGACAAAATCGAATGTGACGAGTTAGGTGTGGGAAGAGAGAAAAGGACAATAAATAGCTTTCTTTGTGTATTTTCACCAGTTACTTGATAAACAGAAATAGTTTTGCATTTCCAGGATGATTAGCTTAAATAAAATAAATCAGTCCAGTTGAAATATTATTTTAGAAATACTTTCAAAGGATTTGAATTTCAAAACTACACCCTTGAATCTTTTAACTGAAGCTTGAATAAAGTGAATATAAAGCAACACAAGGGTTCTGGTTCTTCATTAAGAACTGTTTCCAACAGTATGACTGCCCCATCTGCCCAATATACATGCAGATTAGTCTGGAGAAAAACCAGTGCTTCTAGTCTGGTAACACATATAATAGCATGAAATAAAAGAACCCTTAACTATTTAGGCAGAATGGGTTTAGCTATCACAGCCAGTTATGTGTTTGGGTGATTACACTAAAAGCATTGGTGTCTCAGTTTATGGTGTGTTCTGCCAGTTTCTTTTTCTCTTTCACTTTTAGACTTTTGGGATCAACAGAGTAATTTTCTGACAGCTGTAAAATATACTGCTAAAAATCTCTCTTCTTCCGAGTTGTGGACCAGGGCATGGCTGAGCTTCTGTGGGTGGAACCTGGTGGAGTCGGATGGACTGAAACAAAATGTACTATTGGATGCAGGTCAGACGAGGAAGGGGGCCAGTCAATGGTATCAATTCTTTCATGCTCCAGGAACCGCCTGCATACTCTAGCGGCGTGAGGCAGGCTGTTGTCATGCACCAGGAGGAACCCACAACCCACTGCACTAGCACAGGGTCTGACAATGGGTCCAAGGATTTCAAGAATACCTAACCAAAGTCATAGTGCTGTTACCTAGACTAAGGTTAGTGCAACCCTCCATAGATATTCCTCCACAGACCAATACTGACACACCACCAAACAATCATGCTGAATGATTTTAAAGACAACATAATGTTCTCCACAGCTTCTGCAGACTCTTTCACCTCTGTCACATGTGCTCAGGGCAAACAGGTATTCTGTGGAAAATACCAATCTGGCAGTGAACAAAGGCCCCACTAGAGGAGGTCAGGCTCTCAGGCCACCCACGGGAAGTGTGCTTGTGATTGTTTGGTGAGACCCATTCACAATAGCCTGCTGGAGATCATTTTGTAGGGAAGTGCTCATCTTGTTTCTCCCTGCACAAAGCAGCAGATATTAATTCTGCTGATGGGTTAAGGACTTTCTACCACTCTTTTCAGCTCTCCCAAAGTAACTACCCATCTCCTGGAATCTCCCATGTGCTTTTGAGATTGTGCTGGGGGACACAGCAAACCCTCTGGAAATTGCACGTATTGATGTGTTGGATGCTGGAAGAGTTGGACTACCAGTAGAGACAGTGACCCTAGTGCACCTGTTGTTAATTTAATGAACACAAAGGCAGTTGAAACTGATTAACAACACTCTCTGCTACTCAACTGACACTCTGATTAAAAAGTGTTCCTTTTATTTTTTTTCGAGCAGTGTATGAAATATTTCTGACTTAGGTCAGCTGGGGCATTTTTGTGTGGAGTCTGCATGTCCTGTCTGTGCCTGTGGCGATGCTGCCTGGGCACTCCAGCTTCCTCACAAAGTCCAAAAACAAGCATGTTAGCTTAACTGGTGATTCCAAATTGGCCATAGGTCTGAATTTGTGAATAAATGTTCATCTGTCTCTATGCTTTAGCTCTGTGATGGGCTCAGTGTCTAGGATGTACCCTGCCTCTCTCACTCCCTGTGATGCTAGTTGGATAAGAAGTGCTGGATGAAAGTCTGAATATTTTATTTGTCCAATAAATCATCCAAGTATTTTATTTTTTAATATTATGCTCCATTCATTAACTAGAGGATTTATATGAGATCATGCTTCTTGTTCATAATGAGTAGAAGATGAGTGTTCATTATGACCTTGTAGCTGTCATGGTGAGGATTTAAGATTGTTGGCAGGCAGGCTTGAGTATTTATGGTCACTGTGACAGACTTGGAAAAGAAAAACAGTACACAACAGCTGTATGCTGCTTTCACATTTTCTTACTGTGTGAACAGTTTTCATCTGTGCTTCAAAGCAAAAAAAAAACAAAACTGTAGTGACGTAATGTTACAAGAAAGGCTTTCTGTTAAATAGCATGTTTTTCTCAGCACTGACAAAAAACCTTGTGATGGTGCTCAGTGCTTTAGAAGATGCTCTGATAATTTCTCATAGCTTATAATTGAAAACAGGGCCTTCTTTCAGGGTGCCTCAAATACATATTCGATATTGGCTGTTTTTGAGATCACACAATCATATGATACAATTAAACAGAAAATTGAGAAGCAGACAATTATTTATGGGCTCACGTCTTGCATAGTCAAGCATTTTATGTTTCGCATGAATGTGTGTGTGTGCGAGACAGCACACCAACAAAACCTCACGCAGCTTTCTCGCCTGACTTGGCAGCGTTGTCTCCCCGAGTCTGACAGTGAGGACAGATGGCAAGGACTTACCCCACCAAGAAAGCCTCCAACACACAATCTCAGCCATAACACACAACACAAAAACTTCCCTGGCACCTCCTGACTAGTATCACAGTCCAACAATGAGTCATGTTTAGCGTCCTCTCCCACCAACTGACTGTGTGCGCAAATTTGGATGACAGCATACTTTCACGAACAACCTAAAGTCAGCAAGTGAAGCCTCAGCCCCTGCAGTGGCTTTCTGATTGCTCCCCAAGCAAAGTACTTGTATCGACCGCAGCATCACACATAGACTCGACTTTAACAAGCCTGAGGCAATTAGTTAAATAAAAAAAAACCTGATCCCATGGGTCGTGGCATAATAAACCCACACTCCTGACCAAAGATCCAAATTCATTGACTGGAATAACTTTTCTTAATGTCTACCCTGACCACCACTGTTGAGCTGTGCTATAGAGGTTTTTGCTGCACCTGCTGTTCTGTTTTTGTAGGCAATTTATCACCAAGAATATTCAATCAAGTCATTTTGAGCTCTCTCTGATTAGGCTTTGGTTGTGTAATACTTTGGAAAACAACTACATTGAGTGATTAAACATCAAAAAAAGGTGTTTGGAGAAACCTGGCTGAATCTGAGCACACACAATGCTCTTGTACACTTCTCCATTCACCCTGTTGATTACAATACAATTGTTCCAATTCTACTGGCAACCATGCATGCTCGTCCCATAACGCGGTTTACAGATAAGGAGGGTGCTTTGCATAGTGAGCTGCTTGTTTTTCGCTTTACTTTGATTCTACAATTTTATTCCATTTTAATCAAAGCTGACTTTTCCTTCTTCACAGTGCAAATGCTCCCCCACAAGATCTGCTAGCTTGTTCTCTATCCCATAGTTCTCTTTGTAAACCAGCTTACCTTTTCATATCTAAAAGTTTTTTCCATGACTAGGTTTAGTCAAATATCTTCTGTGCACACATTTTTCTTTCTAATGTGAGTGCCAAAGTAAAATAAAACATAATAATCTGATTCAGTGGAAACATAAATCCTTCCACCAAGACTTTGAATGACTTGGACATGAGCTGGCTTTCACAGCAACTACTTTCTATCCAACAGAACAGCTAGAGGTGGTGTGGGAGTGTAACAGAAAGCACTTTCCACCTGATGAGCAGATATTTTTTTTTGCACAAATTGTTCTCACTCCCCCTGTGGTGTCACAGGGGGAGTGAGGGGTAACCATGCCAAGAAACATTGGAACTGCTGTCCCTTTGTTGCTGCCCAACACTCTCAACAATAAATCAGTTTTTATTGGGTACAAACTTTTTTTCCTGATTTTTTTTAAACTTACTGTATAAATTACTACATTGTAAATCACAACAGGTCAATGAATCTGAACCATTGGCCAGTAAATCTAAATTAATGTAAATGCAATCAACAAGTGCTAAAATAGAAAAAGACAAATTTTAATGAAATCAAGAATACATCTCCATCCTTTAATACAAACACATGCAGATGAAAGTACACCACCTTATACCTGCTTTCTATGTCCTCTGGTACATGTTCAGCTGTTAAAGCACCTTTAAACAACTGTTTAGAAAACTGTGTTGGGCAAGAAAATATTTTGTTCTGGTCCATATAAAACCAAAAAATGAAAAAGTCTTCTCTTCTATAAGTAGACAACAAATCCAGTAATGGTGGAGTCAAACAAGGACACAGCAGCAGTTTTAGCTGGAAAACTTTTGTTTCTAACAAAAAGCATCCACTGCTCACTCCAGTGTGATCTAGGCATCATCAGGTTTATCTGCTGGTGGTCCACATGGCTGAAGCATCTTCTCCATCAGGTTGAAACGAACACGCGCTTTGCTCTCGTTCTCAGCCACAGCAAAGTAATTCAGCAGGTCAAAATGTCCCATGTAGGAACAGTAGGAATCACGATGCTGATTGACCAGCCATTCCCACTTGCTGGTGTCGGCGTGTCCTGTGCCGATATACTTTGACTGCAGATGCTCCAGCTGACTGTGGATGTTGTAACGGTCTGTCATTCTTGCTGAGATGAGTCCTGGAGGCTCTAGACAGGGGAAGAGATGAGAAAGAAGTTAGAATATAAATACAAAATAAATTAATTTAAAAAAATATATGCAAAGATGGATCGCACAAAGAGATAACAGGCTAAAGACTTTAAAATGGGCTATTAATCAAAGTCTGTATTCAATTAGAACTATAGCTTTTAAAGACTGAAATTAAAAGAAATGACTGTGACTGTGCTGTTTGTCTTTTAACAAAGGGTGAGGGTTCATATTTTGCCCTATTCTATAAATCCAGTGAATCCCCTTCCTTTGCACTGGCACAATTTTGCCTCTCATTAAACACCCAGTGTTCCCTTCAGGTTTTGGCAGGTCAGCTCAACCAAAAATGATATAAAGAGAGACTTTTTGGTCATCAAAACGAAAACCAATTCAGCTGTTTGGAATAACTTTGATTTAAAAAAGTGACAAAGAACAAGAAATACATTTTCATCATTGTTTAAAAAGCTCAAAAGTCTTACCAAGTTAAAGAATCGCAAGCTTAATACTGAGCAAAAATAACCATAATTATTGTGTTACAGTATTTTTTATCCCTTATCCCACATATTGAGACTGTGTCCCACATTTTCACTGGCTCTGGTTTTCCAAATACAACACAGACATTTTTCTAAGGTCTGATTTTCATCCAGTGGTTGTTAAGAAATAGGAAGAGGCTGTCACCATCGATGAAGTGCAGATAAAAGTCCGGTTTAGACTTCTGTGGGCATTCTTTTTAACGTCTACGACACAACCTACGTAAGTCGCCGACCTTGTTGCCGTCATCGTGAATTTTGTTTTAGTAACAGTGTGGTCGTGTCTTGATGTTTTATATTTATTGCCAGCCATGGTAGAAACAAAGACTCGTTTTCTTTACCATCCGTTGTGCTTCTGAGTAAAGTCACAAACCAAAAGCCGATTGATTCGGAGCCAAAATAAACACAATTTTAACCCGTTTACGGGCTTGAAAGTATGGGGACCCATGAATGAAACGTTATCTAACAGCAACAGCACATGTGGACATCAGAAGAAACGTGCAGCTAAAAAGGAGACGTTCAGACGGAGAAGTTCAGTCATGTAACCTGAATATTTTTCTTGTATTTTGCATTTACGAGTGTAGCAATGCCACAACAAATGTTAACCCGATGAGTGATTATACTACTCTGAAGCGATTCAAACTTTATTTAAATTTGAAGTACAAACATTTCTATGTAAACAGAGAAATTAACCGCTTTTTGTTTTCCTGCTAATGCTAATGTGAGGCTAATTAGCCAGTGTTAGCCTATTCACCGTATCTGTCAACTGCTCTCTAAATGTTCCTTTTAAAGTTAATATAATAACAAGTAAGACATATTTTAAGTTGAAAATAGAAAGGAAACTTACATAAAATGTCAGGAATTCAAACACGAAGGTAGGAGATGTAAATAAATTACACGACCGTCTCCAACTCAACACAGCACCACGGAGCGATCACTTCCGG